TTTAGGGTTTAGCGGTGTAGGGGTTTAGGGTTTAGGGGTTTTCGGTTTAGGGTTTAGGGTTCAGGGGTTTAGGGTTGGCCTGTCCAGGAGCCAGGCGATGTGCAGGCATGGTGGCTGATGCGCCAGTACATGCACATCGACTTCAACGAGTCCTGATTGAACAGCAGCAATTTCGAAGTTAGACGCCATGCAAACCTTAGCCCCTAAACTCCTAAACCACTGATCCGTAAACCCCCAAGCCCCTAAACCCCTAAACTTAAACCCCTGAACCCAAGCTTTAAACCCCTAAACCTTCCTGCAGGTGGTTGTGCTTGTGCATTTTGCTCGTTAAAATTCCGAAACCGAAGCCCCTGTAAAGCCCAGCTGCAACCCGACCGTGCAAAAGTTTAGGGCCTTAGGGTTTGGGGTTTGGGGTTTGGGGTTTAGGGTTTGGGGTTTGGGGTTTGAGGTTCAGGGTTTAGGGTTTAGGGCGCAGCGGCCCGCAGCAGAAACGAGTCCTAACACAACATCCTGTGCCGTGAAGCTCTTTGCCCTCCAAACCCACAGCGGTTTGGGGTTTGGGGGGTCTGGAGTGTAGAGAACTGAGTCTGCATTCCACCGAGACTGTTTTTGTTGAAACCAGTGTTTCTCTTTGTCGACCGCGCTATCGTGCACTACTATGAGTTAGGTATCTACCTTAAAACAGTCCAAAACTAAGCCAGGTGCCTGGAAACCCTAAACCCTGAACCCTAAACCCTGAGCCCCTTCTTGATGAGAATAAGGTACTTTGTTAAGACAGCACGGACCCCGAAGCGTAGCACTCGTCGGGCCCAAGGCCCAAGGCACTCTGAACCCTATCGCAGCCATCATATGATAAACTCTCAAACAGTTGGCAGTATATTTTCTCCTTCATGAGCGTCCTCCTAGGCGTCATCTGTTAAGCTCCGATCCCATCACCGAGGACGAATCGGCCAGCATGGACTTCTGCGGTATCGCCGTGGTGGTGCCCCGCTCGCAACTTTGTGTTGTCGCTGGCAACTAGAGCAGCCATCTTGGCTGTGGATTGGGGTTTAGGCTCCCTAAACCCTAAACCCTAAACGGTTTAGAGTTTAGGCTTTCGGGTTGGTTCCGGTGAGGATGCCTAACTCCTTGTGGAGAGACTTCAGAATCTATTCCACAGTCACTCACCCACTACTCGCAACGCTAAGCCCTAAACCTGAAAGACACAAAACCGTATAGCAGCACTGGGTTCCTAAGCAGTGCCGGAAGCCATCCATCGTTCTGAGCACGGCTTGGGCCTAAAACCTAAGCCCTGAACCTGAAATCCTAAACAGGCTAGGGAGCTCACAGTGTAGGCCTCGTATGAGGCTGGCTTGATCGCACAGAAAAGGCCAGTGCACTTTAAAACGAAAAACCCTAAACAGCCGACCCACAACAGGAGCCTGTGCGCACATGCAAGGAAAAGGGCTTCCAACACAAAAACTCAACCCTAAGCCCTGGACCCTTACTGAAACCCTAAACCCTAAACCCTAAACCCTAAACCCTAAACCCTAACCCTAAACCCTAAACCCTAAACCCTAAACCCTAAACCCTAAATCCCTAAATCCCTAAATCCTAAACCTAAACCCTAGACCCTAAACCCTAAACCCTAAACCCTGAACCCTAAATCCTAAACCCTAAACCCTAAACCCCAAACTTTTTAAACCCTAAATCGTAAGCCCAGGTGCTCATGTTCAGCTTCGCTGTTGCTGGATTCCTGGTGTGGATCAACAATGAGCAGCTAGGCAGTTGGGAGGTCTCGGGGTTGGGCTGCTGGCTAGGGTTTCAGGTTTCGATCGGGTTTCATGGGTATGTATGTATATGTGTATATGTGTGTGTATATATATATATATATACATATATATATATATATATATGGCGGGGCTATGTAGGGATCCTGAAAACAAGGATCCTACCCCCTGGGGCTCTACATGAGGTTCCAGGGCAACGGATGCGGAAAAGACCTGAGCCCATACATTCTCCCTCCCGGCTCCTTCATCCGATCCCTTAAATTAAGGAAGACTCACCGACAAAATCTAAGCCATGAAGTGCCCGAGCCCTAAACGCAAACGCCGACAACATTCCGACCCGCCCTAAACCCTAAAACCCCAACCCCCTAAGCCCCAACGGTAGCTCTAAACATCCTGAAATCCTCACCCCGGCTGAGGCAGCCCTCAATTCCCCTCCAAACCCCTAAGCCCTGTATGTAAACCCTATAAGCCCCAGAAGCCCTAGAAACCCCAGAAACCCTGTAAGCACTGCAAACCCCAAGCCCTTCAATCCAAACCCCGACAGCATCCATAAACCCCAAGCCCCAAACCCTGAACCCTAAACCGTAAACTCTGATTCTCAACACCAAGCCCTGAACCCTGAAGCCTAAACTAAACCCTGGGCCTTATTCTCTAGGGTTTAGGGTTTTGGGTCTCGAAGACTGCAGCATCTCAAGTTCCAACTTCTTCTCTTGTGAAGCCCTAAACCCTAAACCCTTCTTATGAAGCTTGTAAAGGGGAGAGCTTCCAGGGACTGTCCGCTCCGTTGCTGGATTCGGTATAGTAGGGTTTAGGGTTTAGGGTCTCTAAAACCTCATATCTATAAAGCCCTGCGCCAGTAAGGATCCGATTTCTCAAGGCTTGTGTATTCGGGCTCCTAATTTGCTGAACCGCCCAGTTGGAGTTAAAGGTGGGCCCGGGTCAGTCAAAAACACACGTTTTGGGTGCATTCGCGGTCGTTTCAGAGGCTTCCGACAACATGTGGTGGAGTACGGTCGAACTTTATGCTAAGAAAATTACATGCCTTCATCAGAGTCTTAGACATTTCTTGCGCTGCTTCTTGAGGTCTCTGCAGTACAGGAGTTTCGACCGTAATTTCTAGACCCCCAACCCCCACCTTGAAAACAACCCTAAACCCGTCACCCTCCGGAAGACCTTGAACCCAACACTCAATGGCCCTAAACCCCAAACGCCCTGTATCCTAAAGACCGTGGAGTCTTCCAGCCCTGGGAACCCGAAGTAGCATCAGCGCCACATCAGCAGTAGAAGTTTCTGAGGATTGATCATGGCACGTTCGGGCTTTTCCTCCTCATCTTTCTTCTGAACCTCTTCCTGATTGGCATTATGAACGACGCCTTTACAGCTCCTCGGCTTGCACACAACTCGAACGGGGTCATGGGTATTCTCTATGAAGCATGCGTCGCGACAAGAAGAGCCCGATGAGTGCACGTAATGCATCCATGAGTGCACGCTGCACAGCAAGCTATTCACCCTACGTTGGGCCTCCTGTGCTGGAACCTACCCACTAGCTGTCTAAACCCTAAACCCTAAACCCTAAACCTTAAACCCTAAACCTCGTGCGAGCGAAAGGGGCCACTGCACATGGAAAAAAACCCTAAACCCTAAACCCTAGTGATTTCCCCAGCTAACGAGAAAGCCCGGTACCCTCAAGGAGAAGGAGGGAGATGCTTCGACCATGGGTTTAGGGTTGAGGGATTTAGGGTTTAGGGTTTAGGGTTTAGGGTTTAGGGATGTGTAAACACCTGGTGACCGCCTACTCACTAGCTAAGCCACTGGTGCGCTGGACATGAGCCGCAGAACCCCCTAAACCCTAAAGCCTAAACCCTAAACCTCTAAGGCTTCTTTTATATCCAAAGCCCCAGCAAACTCCCACATACCCAACAGGAAGCCCTACTGCCCATGAAGGCCCCGAGCCCTAAACCTCAACCCTAAACCCTAAGCCCTAAACCCTGAACCCGAAATCCCTATAAACCCTGAACCCTAAACCCAAAATTCTCAAGAAGGCTTGCATCCAGCAGAACCTGCTCTTGGAGCGCGATGCCCGGGTCCTCGTCGATGCCACGCTGAGCACGTTGATGAAGCCCGGGACCGACTCTGAGGCGGATTAAGGGTTTGGGGTTTGGGGTTTA